TGTGGTGCATTGCAGTGCAGGAATTGGAAGATCGGGAACTTTTTGTTTGGTTGATACATGTCTTCTACTGGTAAGAACCACTTACTCTAGATGGGAATAAGGAGTGAGTTACAACTTTGTGTAGTTACTTCTGGGAATTCCTTATTTGAAGCCTGTGCAAGCCATGGCACCTTTCATGAATTGTGGTATAGTGACACACATTCCTCTGAGACATTTGTCTCTTACTCAACTTTTACTTTTGTCTTCGGTAATATATTTTCATTTTAAAGCTAAAGCAAACTGAGCTTTGAATGGGCCATTGTGGGAGTATGAAAGAAACTATCACTGGTTCCAGCTGGAGTGACTCGCAAAGTTAGGCTTTGTCTTCCCTACTAAGAAAAGTGGTCCTTGCCTAATTTACCTTGAGGTAAAACTAAAGTGCCTGTTTTGTACTTTGGGGATAGCTCACGTGCATTAGTTATCCTGAGATAAAACTGTATCTTTATTTTTAAGCAGCGAAGGCCTGATAGAAGGTCCCACATGTTACCTTCATCCCCATACCCGTTAACATGGGAACAGTTTGAAGCCTATGCAACAAATGAGTCGTGTTGAAACACATTAGAGTGGGTATCTGTGTAAAGCAAATTTCAAATCTTTACCTTCAGATGGACAAAAGGAAAGATCCTTCTTCTGTGGACATTAAGCAAGTTCTCTTAGAAATGAGAAAGTACAGAATGGGGCTTATACAGACAGCAGATCAACTTCGTTTCTCTTACTTGGCTGTTATTGAAGGAGCAAAATTTATTATGGGAGATGCTTCGGTGCAGGTGAGCATTGAATGCATATCATTTGTACAGAGAGAAGGTGGGTGAGTTGGGCTAATAAAATATATTACATCCCCTACCTTGTGTCTCTCATATTCTGGAACCGACGCAGCTACAGTACAGCATACAACAATATCAGTTGTAGAGTAGATTAAGATCCACAAATCTCATAATTGCATGTAGCCAGACAAATGTTATGAGGGAAGTTAGCATAGTTGAATAAGGTTAAGAGGGCTGTATGTACTTTAATGATTCATTCTATCCTTGGCATGAGCATTGTACAATAACTTACATTCTTTAGTGCACAATGCTCTTGGATCGAATGCATTGTCTTACACATGTTGATGTGTTTGTACAAGTACAAATAGCCCACAATAGCTACTGTCACCTGGAAAATTCTCCTTCTTGTGAACCTATGGGAAACAGTTGGGAAATATCCATTGCAGTGTGAGCCTCATGATGCTGTTTTGCTAAGTCTTCTATTTAGGCCCTTAACAATTTTCCAACATGCTGTAGATTCTTCCAGTGTTGTCTCCTTTGAAGTATGCATGTTTAAGTTATTGCTAAATAATACTATAGCACAAAATGGGATTCATGTTGCTACTTAAATAGTTTTTCATGTGGGTGAAGCACTAAATTAAATCTCCAGTTAATGTTTCCCATATGTGTGGTTGGGCTGTGGGCATACTGTTTAGTTGGTGGGATGGGAGAGGTGAATGCATCTGAACAGTGACCCTGAAAGTAAAACAATGACTAATGTGTAAAGCCTCTGCCATGTTAATGTTAGAATTACAGTGGTTTTAATATAAAATATTATAATATAGCAGAGCTTAATAGGCACTTTCTTCTGTGTAGGAGCAGTGGAAAGAGCTTTCCAATGAAGACCTGGAGCCTCCACCAGAACATACTCCCCCACCCCCGAGGCCACCAAAGCGAACGTCAGAAATGCACAATGGGCGGATGCACGAACACACCGAGTTTTTCCCTAACCACCAGGGAGTAGAGGAAGAGATCAGATGTACAGTCAGCGCTGTGGAGGAGATGGTACCTGATGGCACATCTGTGCAGCTGGGTACAGACAGGTAATTCAGTCAAGTTGTTTGCATTGTTTTTGACTGTTCCAGGAAATCTGCTGTAGATTCACAGCTGTATGTAGAAAGTTCCCTTGTTTGAGCCACTTAGCACCACCCATAAAGCGTGTTGGACAGAACTTGACGCTTTTGTGTAACAGCACTCCTAGAATAGTATTCTAGCCCTTTATTTCCAAAGGCCCACGTGCTTGTTTAGATGAGATGTGAAAAGGATACGAGAGCCACCTGACAGCTCTTGCTAGGCTGTGATGAAAGATGGAGGCGGCACAATGACTGTATGGTTTAGCCTCACATGCAGGTGCATAAGGGGTTTGGTTATACAGGGCTCTTTTACACGTTAGGTGGATTGTCAGGCCTTCAGCTTGAAGTTAAGCCAGCTAGCTTCTACCACACCAATCAGTGCAGGTATCTGGTACTCTACATACTTTATCAGATATATCCTGCAACATTTGAAAATGTCCTTTTAAGTCAGTTCAGTCCTGATGTTAGAACATAGGAATGGACAATTTTCATTCACTATCAAAGCACCTGTTTGCCTTAAAGTTGCAGTTCGTCCTTTTTTTAAATCTACAGTTCTCTTGTCATATGTATCTTTCATGCTGGGGAACTATTTTTGCTTTCTACTACAGGACAGATCAATTATGATAATTAAAAAAAAAAAAACTTTTCAGCAGAGAATTTATTCTCCCTTTCAGCCTAGCTAGACTAAAGCATTTGGCCTAAAGAATAAACCTATAACTGGGGGGGGGGAGAATAAGGGTTGTTTGTGTTTAACCACTAGATGTCACTGCTGTTTCACAAATCTGAAGTATAGTATGTTATGTTACAATAGATTCTACTGTAACAATCCTTAGATCAATATCCAGTACATTAAAAACTATTTCTGGCAGTCTTTGTCCAAGATAGCCAACTAAAAACCCCTTCTGGGAGGAAAGGGCAAGGGGACATCAGAAGTCACCAGGAGAACAGTTGAGGGGAGAATTCCAAGGCTATCTCAGGCAAATGAAACAAAAGATCACACCTGGGACACACCCAATTTTGCAAGGGAATACTAGGAACAGGAGCATCTAACTTTCAACATTTCCTACAAAGTTCTGGAGATACTCTTTGGCAAATAAAGCTGGGAAACTTAGTGCCTTGAGCCTTGTGAAACTGGCTGGGGAGTGACCCTGAATTGACATGAAATGAGGCACGTTCAGTAGTTTTTTCCCTCACCTTAAGCTGGTCTCCATAATATTTTTTATCATTATTTCTATTTATAAAAGGACATGCTTTCCCAGTAGCATCCCCTGCTGATGACCCACGTGGGAGTCAGTGTGATGCCACAGGATGGAATTTCTGGTTGTTTTTAGTTGCCTTTTAAAAAAAAAAAATAATCTAGGAAACAAGCACAAAATTAAATATATAATTAAAACAACTTTAAGGGTCTAGAAAAATAGTATGTGATCTTGTAATTATACTCTATCCTAATGCGTACACACAATGGGCTAAATTAAGGTTACACAAGCAAACTTAATTCTGGCATTTCTTTACTTTTGAGTGCTTGACTTTGCAGCCTTAATCTCTTAATTTAGGGATGTGTTCTGTGTATAATTATACACAGCTCAATCCCTACTGTCTTGCTCCAACAATTGCGCATGCTTTGGTGATAACACATTCAGCATTTTGGTGCAATTAGTGTTTGTGTGTTTTTATGGGCACAGAATAGTTTTGAATATATTCACTGTCCGGAATTCCTGTTTGTAAGGATGATTGCCGGATGTCTGGCCTTGAAGTGGAGAATCTGAACTGGGTAGATGCTTGAGTACCATCAGGGATATGGTAATCAACATGGGATAAGAAGCAACTTGTTTGCTAGCAACACCCAGCTGATCAGGGCAATAAATATCAGCTTAAACCTCCTAATTGAAAGCCCCAACTATAATCTTTAAAAGGATACATCTTGTGCATCAGGTATCAAATCTCCTGGTGACAACTGATCTACAGTTTCATCTGTAAGGCCTGGTCACACTCGGGGGGGGTAGGGGTCGATCTAAGATACGCAACTTCAGCTATGAGAATAACGTAGCTGGAGTCGACGTATCTTAGATTGACTTAGAATCACTTACTCCGTGTCCTCACGGCGCGGGATCGACGGCCGCTGCTCCCCCGTCAACTCCACTTCCGCCTCTCACCGAGCTGGAGTTCCAAAGTCCCCGACAGAGCGATTGGGGATAGATCACTACCGGTTGATCCAGCGGGTAGTGTAGATGTACCCTAAGTGTCGGTGAGGTGTCTCTGGATTGGGCCTCAGTGTCCGCACACCTTCCCCCCTCAAGGGGAAGAATACTATACTGAATATTTATTTATTTCTTCATCCCTCAGCACTAGTCAAGACACTGAACTGAGGAGGAGGACTGTTGGTGAAAATCTGTGTGCCTCACCTCACAAAGAAGAGCCAGTGAAGTCAGAAAACATAGAAGAGGACGATGAGAACATGATGACAACTTGGAAGCCATTTCTGGTGAATATCTGCATGTTCACTGTCCTCACAGCAGGAGCTTACCTCTGTTACAGGGTATGTTTTCATTGATGGACATGTCAGCAAGATAGAGTATGCAGAGAACAACAACAATTTGACCAGTGTGTAATCCGCTTCTATGAAAGAAATCTATTTGAGGCATCTGAGCCTTGTCTCAGTGGAAATATACCTTAGGTTGAAAGGCTGGAACTTTTGGTTAGGGCTTAAAGAGAGAATTGATGCACTAGGGTTTAATTTAGCCCTGTGGTCCCAAGAACATAATATTCTAATCTCAGGGCCTTAAAATATTCAGGAGTAAGCAGAGAAAATGCCAAATAAGTCTTTTTTTTCTTTTCTTTTTTTATTTTTTATGGAATAATAGAATTACAACACATTGTTGTTTTTAGCCTTTTTTAAAAGCCAGTTCTTTTTCTTTGTGTTACTTCAGAAAGAAACTAGGCACAAGTGAAACTTGCTTGTACTCTCCAAGTGTTGTAACCAAATACATGATTTATATTATTACTGAGTTCCCAAAAAGAGAGAGAATCCACATATCTGAAGAATGTAAACTTTTTGGAAGGGGGAGGGCTCTTTTTGTCTCACTTCATCTATTAAAGACTGAGTTGTGGGCAGTGCCTGTGGTATTGATGCATTTAATCATGGCATAACTGTTCTTAACTAGCTTCTTGTTTTACATATCTTTATAAAAACAGGCTTCTGCATTTGCTCAGGGTATCCCAACATGTCAAACATTGTTTAAGAGGGAAAAATTGTATTTCCCCATTGACTTTTTTTGTTGCACTCTACTTGCACCTATGCCTACTTACATTGTACCAATCTCTGTAAAGTTGTTTTTACCTTTATATTCTGGGATGTGGGGGAGGAGGGAAGCAGGAAGGGAAATTCAACCAAAATCTGTCCACCAGCATTTTACAGCTATTCAGCTGGCGTTTAGAAGGACCAGTTTTTAAACTTCATCATTTGGAATGTAAAAATGCAGTTTCACTCTAAATCTGCCTTGTAAGGAGTGATGTGCTTTGTGCACAAACCAGAGGGAGGAGGAGCATACTCAAGGGTGATGTGAGAAATGATTTGGAAAGCATTTCAGTATATCCAGAGCAATTAATGCCATGGCAGCTTCCTTAACAAACTTAAAAGATCAACAGAAGACATGTTGGTCTTTGAACATACCAGTTGGCTTATCATGATGCAAGCGATTGTGTAATCTTCTTCTTTTTTTAAAGTAAAGATTTCAATATTGACTTTGGTTTGGTTTGAAATTATGTTAAATGATTACTGGGGTAGAGGGGCATAAGTGCCTGAGGCCTTGCAGCTCTGCAGATGTGATTGTTCCTATCCTAGCTCAAAGTGAGAAAAGCTGGGTGGTGTAGAGTAAAAATTAGGACAAAACAACGGTGATACAACTTGGCTCAGTTGGTTGTGCCTACTCAAGAGAGGCCTAGGACTTGAATAGTGTTAGGAGTGCATTAGCAGAGCTGTGACTGGAAGCTTGCATTGCACTAAACCTAATTCTCATCAATGCTGTTAGTCTTTTCCTTTCATGAGTACGAAATTCATACATTTTAAACAATAATAGAGAAAATCTTTGCTCATAGGGCAGAGATTGGAAGCAAATTCGCTACTTAAAGCGGTAGTGGTTATAACTAAACCATGATGACTAATCTGAAAGTGTTACTAATCAGTGCTTTTTAAATGCATTCTAGTTGTATAGCACTTAACCACCGTTCTCAGTGTAAACATCTTTATGGAGTATATTGTGTAACAGTCCTTTCACTCCATATTTATTTTTTTCAAAGCTGCCAGTAGCTCCTGCTCTTTCCTTAAACCCATAAGGTGTTGACTTGGGGTGGAAGGGTTGTTTTTATTTGTTTTGGGGTTTTTTAACTGTTAAGCTTGCATCAAGGGCTTCTCAAAAGTACAATAATAAATAAATCCTCAGGTAGTACTGGGAATTAAAATTTTACCTGTGAGACTGTTGGTCAGACCAGTACTTGAAAGGGGGAATATTGTAAGCAGTCAGTATTTAGTATATTATTGGAAACATGAAAAATTGAGTATAGAAAATGATATAATATATAATGGATCATTTGTGTATTTAAGATACAGTATGTGATTGCTTTGTCTCCATTATTCTCTCCATCATCTGGTAGAATATTATTGTAGGGCAACATTTGTACCCCCTTTGTATTAGAATGCATGTAAAGTCTTTTAGTGTCCTGATTAAATACCATGTGCTTGAAAGATGAAAAAACTTATACTTCTGCTTACTGATGTGCCCAGATAATATTTGCATGATCTGATCATTTAAGTGGCTGTGGTTCAAAGGATGTTGCTGAAAGTGTCTTCATTCAGCGATACATTGATTTGGTGTTTATCAGGTAACATGTACTTGCCTAATATTTGGCACGATTTTCTATTGAATTTCTGCATACTCAGTGTAACCCACCAGTTGTTTAGCATAGTTCATTTCAGCTGAGTAAGTATAATACAAACATTCCAAAGTGTGTATTAAGCCATATTCACACCTCACCTCCAGTCAATTTTGGCAACAAATATCTCAACAATTTCAGAATGACTTGCTATGCTGCCTTCAGAAACTTGCACTTGGGGAAACTCTGCTTTTGGAAAGGTCACCAATAAAGCAAGGTTTCAAGTGAGTGTTTTGTGCCATTGAGCCCTAATTGATCTCTAGAAACAGACTGGTGAGATAAACGAGTGGCCCATAAACAGAATGGGACTTGCTGTATTTCTCTCTCTTTGGACAAATGTAAACGTTGGGGTTGATGAAAGCATAGCATCCCTCCTTAGAATCCACAGTTGTACTGTAGTTGCAACCTTTTCCACAAAGAAAAACTTAGAAACGTTTTGCTATACAGAGAGAGAGAGAGAGCCACTCTAGCTAACATGCCCCTTTCTCCCAGCTAACTTCGCTACTTGGCTTTCATCTGTTTAAAGTCAAGGAGGCCTTGTACAGTAGTGGGAACATACAGTGGAATGCTCTGTAAGCCGTGAGGTGTGTGTATAAGGCTTATAATGCTAAACTGTAAGCATTTTGTTTTGATGTCCTGTATATGTCTGTAGTAGTTTGGGTGTGTGTATATACAGTAGTGTTTCAAAGTGGGTGTATTGATTAACCTGTTCTTGGAAAAATGGACAAATATCCATGTTAAAATTGTTAGAAAATTAGCTGCTCTGCTATATGCCTTAAGCAAATATTTACTCATCAGGTCTTTCTTTTTTACAGATTGCCATAGAATAAACTTTTTTAAAAAATATTAAAAAAAAAATAAAAAACAAAAGCTAAATGTTTTGGTATAATACATTTTCAGGTATCTTGTCTTTTGTGTAAGGCGCTGCAACGACCTCACAGTTTTCAGTAACTGTACAGTTTTTCAATTTCCCATACAAGTTTTCAGTTCTCATTTTAGTTGCAACAATAAAAAATTTTTAAAGAATGGATGTGTCTTTCCACTTCCTGTTTTATCATGGCGGTAGAGATGATTTAGTCACTAACAAATTTAGACCCTTGGGTTATCAACAGGATTTCACCTCCTACTGATTATTTTGTGATTTCGCACACTAATAGAAAATGTTAAGAATATTTCCACTGGTGCAGAAAACTTGCTTTCAGGTCAATAACTAGCTGTCTGCTATAAAATAAAATGCATTTTCACTACACATCGGCTTGCTCATAGATGTTCAACTGAGTTTAAATACGTAGTGTTTGGGTCATATCAGTAAACTCTATGATGTGCAACCTGCAACATTAAAGATCTCTAAAGCACTGTAATTGTTTCTACAACAGTTTACCAGCTGTGGATTGATTTGCTAAATTTGTTCTTCAGGATGGGACTACACGCTACAGCAGTCTGTACAACAAGGATTGCTGCAGATGTAAATATGACATCTCCAGGTACTCTAGGTGCTTTGAGACTTTTTAATGAGACACGCTTCAGGCCTTTTGATTAATAACAGATGCTGATCTAAGGGTAGAGTGGTGGTTGTACACATTCCTCTGCTCTGTATTTGAATATAATTTAAGTAAAGCTGCCTGGAGATGCCATTCCCAGTAACTCCTTAAAACTACGTGTGAGAAACACCAGTGTCAAAGACTATGAAGTCACACTAGTGTAATTGCATAAAGCTGAGCTCAGACTGCAGCTTGGATCAGCTTCGTTCTTGTGCTGTAATCCTCTCTCACTTTTAAACATAAGCTATTCCTTGTTCTCTTGTAAGGATAAAGTTATAATATATGCACATATTACAACTGTGTGCATGCTCTCTGCTTGTAAATGTCTGCAAATTAAGTGGAGCCCTGTGTACTGCTGAGGGAGAGCTCTCCTGTTTTATGTTGGGGGTGGAACAGTAACCCAAGGATGCTTTTCAAGCCAGCGTGTCTCCCCACTAACATCCCTGTTTTACTTGAGAGCACAAAGTTTCAGCCTGACTTTGAATGCCAGACCTATGTTCTGTTTATTTCCCCCAAAAGAGCCAGAGCAGGTGTTATATAGCCTTAGGAAATATTTTTGCTCTCTGATTTCAATGACTGTCAAGTTTGAAATGAGCTGAGAATGCTTCCAAAGTAACTACTGGTAACTAAACAAAAATTTCATAAGCAGTGACCATAGAATTAGAAGTGTGATAAATCCTCCCCCATATTTCAGCTGTGGTTTATTTCACTGGTTTTGCTCTCTGAGGAATGTGTTAACTAATGGTTGCCCCCATAATGTTTTCAGCACACAGACTGTTTGCAAAAAGGCAAGTATTTAATGTTTTATTTAAAATTTTAGAAAACTGTATGTAAACCAACATAGAAATAAATACTGAATAGAAAAGTACAAAGCACAATATACTGTATAATATATACATAAAGACCAAGACTGTTCAAGTATTGTGCCTCACGTAAGGTTCCTAAACCCATATTTGAATACTCAAATTGGGTGATCTCATTCTCAAGAGCTGAGCATTCATCTGTTTCTGTTGAAAATCAGGCCATTTCTGGGTGCCCAAGTATGGATTAAGGAGCCTGACTTCAGGTACCTTTTTTTTTTAACCTTAGGCTAAGATTAAATGAGTAAGTGTATAAATTAAAAACTTGACACTTCCGCCTGGATCTGTCCATATACAACTCAGTTTTGTACACTTACTCCATAAATGTGAAGGATAGGCATGTTCTGAATTCTTAAAGTAAACAAGTCAGGCTGAAGAAACATTGCCTCACTAGTTTCCGTCTATCTACGCTTACACTGTTTTCAGATTAGAGTTAATTTCAAACATCTCTTGCTGGAAGCACTGAAATCCCAATTCGTTTACTGCACATTTTTACGTTCTTCCAGAAACCAATGAACTTTTGAGCTCTTACTCAAATTTACAAGAAAGCACAGACCAGCTTAGAAATGATGTTTTAAAGTGCATGGCAGCTGCTATGACTTCTGACAGAACAAGTGCTGGTTTATAACTTCAATACCTGCTGATACTGGAGCTAGCTTGTACTAGTTTTCTGCAGATCTAGCATACATTGACTAATTGTATACAAGTATTCTGGCTCATTAGTGACACTCTCCACATCCACACTGTCTTGTATTCATAAAATCAAAACTCCAAGGGCTGTAGGAAAACGACATTTAGGACCAGCTCTTCAGCTGCTGTAACCTAAAGGGGAGATGCTCCTTTCACACCAACTGAGGAGCTGACCCTTCTTTAGCACAAACTACTTCAAAACGAAGGGGAGAACACTTTGGGAGGATAACAAGCAGGCCCAGTGACATCAGTTCAGAGTTCCTACATGTGAAGCAGAAAGGAAACATCCACCTCTTCACACTAAGCTTTATTTCTGCTCATGCTCTCTGCAGTAAGATAGAGGCAGTACTGTCACATGCCAGTTATAAGGCTACACTTTACCTTTGCTCCCTTCCCAGGCATGAATCCCCAAACCAACTGCAAAGAGTTGTTTTTTTTGTTCGGGCTTGGGGGGGGAGAGGAGAGGGAGAGAATGAGTTTGTGAAATTGAGTCAGGATTCTTAATGAAAACAAACCCATTACTAAATCTCCTGTCAAGACTTACCCTTTGCCTCCTGTTTTTGGCACTGCAGACTGAGTTGTTTCAAGGTTTATTGTGCTCCCTGGTGAGGACAGCCTGAGAGGGGCTGATGGATTTACTCTAGCACCACCTAGTGATACTTCATGATTTTAGCTCCGTGTCAGAAGCATTCTGATCCAATGGCTGAGTGATTTTTAGTCCTAACCCCCCCCCAATGGAAGAGCTGTCCCACATGGACCTACTCAATACCTACGTGCACTAACTTAACCACCTAGTGGTAAATGGAAACCAACTCCTGTAGCCACCTGGGCTGTAGGTCAGATTCAGCATTTCATTAGTTAAAATATTGTGATTTCAATTTCAGCTTCTTGGTATACAGAGCCTCTCAACTCGCAGCAAACTCTGTCCATTTTTTCAAAGGCTAGTCGTCCTTTTTCACCTACAAATAAAGACAGACAAATCATAGTGAGGACAAGAAATCTGGGAGAAACTCTGAGGTGAGGATCTGTTGCAGTTTCACCATAACTCTGCACCGCCTCTTACGACCTTGTTACAACTTGAGTGTTCAGTCACTCTTGAAAATCACTGCCTTAGTGGTTTTTTTTTTTGGATGCTCCGCTTCAGACACCTTTAAAAGGGACCCTGTTTCCAAAAATGGCTGAGCATCTACCTGCTGAAAATCAGGCCCCTTTAAGGCAGCAGTTTGGTGTCTCCAGAAAAAAGGCACCCAAAAGCACTAGTCGTTTGAAAAATCTGGCCTGAATGCAGATGAATTTGTAAAGGAACATCTTAAAACGAAACAATTCTTGTTATCTTAGGGCAATTGTCTAGTCACTGGCTATGAATCTAGCTGTAGTAAGAAATGTAGCACCAGTGAAAGGAAAGCCAATCCGTACTATCTATGCCAAAGGTACTTGGAGAGTCTCTTTAATTACTATATATGTGCTCCCATCCTGCCTCAGTCAGACAGTAATTGCACAGGATCAGATCCCATCTTTGCCAACCTAATTTCAGTTCCTTGAGGGCAGCTGGATCGCAGCTTAATTTCCCTCTCTCTGGAAAATGCAAGTTAGTTAATACACCCCTCTGATATTCTTGGCAATTACTTTCTGAGCCTGACCCCTCCCTCCCCGGTGTCAATCGAGTTTTATACTGCTGTAACTTCATTGAATCAGTCCCTATATGTGCAATTGGCCCCTTTATTTACAACAGTGATGTCCACATTACATATTTTAAAATCAAATCCTACCTAGATTCAATAAGATTTCACCCTAGTTACCAGTCTGGTTAGACTTTTATGTATACAGCTCCCAGAAGAGAGTACCAAATGCTAATATTTTTATTGCTAACACTAGTATTGACAGCAATGCTGGAATACCTTTAATTTTATGACTTGTTACCTGAAATCATCTTGTTGCTCACTGTCCCTTTACAATGGTTAATAGTTTGTACAGCACTCCCCCTCAAGCTGTCTTCTGGGCCTGTATATATACAAAGCCTTAGCACATATGTTGCATTAAGATTATTGTAATGTTCCGACAGTGTGTCGTGAAACATCTCTATACCTGTTAGCTCAGCCTTAAACATATTATTTTGCTGAAGAACACGTTGGTAAAACTTTAGGCCTATTTTGTTTTCTTAATAGCTCATCTGTCACTCTCAGCATCTTTATTTAAAGCTGCAGTAAACATTTACCAAATGACAGTGTTGTTTCCCTGGCAGCGTTCCGTACGTCCTCTGTTTCAGACTGACACAGGCGGGCAATCTGCTCAATGCTTTCTATGGCCTGTGGGGGAGAAGAAAAAATTGCAGCATTATGTGTTTAATAAGCAGTCTTGATCATTTCTCTCAGAGTTTTCCCACCATAACACTCAGGTACTATCTGTTACATAAATACGCAGACATGCACCAGCTGTTCAACTGCTATCTCTTCTAAGTTGTATCTCAATTCTAATATGATTGTGCTCCCTTCCCTTTCCCCCCCATCCCCTGAATTGGCTGTAGATTGGTTTACTTAGCATGAGCATAGGTTTGCCACCACCTAGCCTCGTCTCAAAGGATTAAAGTTTTGAAGATATAGGACGTGATTCACCCATGCATTACTCCAGTATTGTACCTGCAGTTTCAATGGAGTTATACTGGCATAAAACTGAAGTAATGCAATAGTGAACCAGGCCCAAAGAGCATTGACTCAGTAAAGTTATCACATGGGTGCAGACACAAAGGGCCCAAGACTGCTTTCTAACAGTCGTTCCTAAAAAGTCAGAGTTAGTGGCTTGGTCTATCTTATGGCTGCATTTCCTTATAAAAAGAGAGTTGTGCTGACAGTAATTGTTTATGTGCAAACTAACTGGTTATAAATGTTATTGGAAGGATTTGACTCCCATCTGTGCAGGAAAAGTTCTGCTAATTTGTGTTGGAGTCTGCTGGTAACTTAAGACAGAAAGTGGACAGATTTTTTTAAAAACGAGAGCCTCTAGCATGCTGGGATTGTAGATGAGCAGTTACTCTCAAAACAGGATTAGAAATTTATTCAATAAATCAGTCAATCTTAAAGCAAGAGCACAAACTATATTCTGAGTTTGGTTCCAGTCTTAGTACTTTGCTAGAAGCTAAAATGTTTCCCCCATCAGAACTTGTTTTCCAACCCCACTGTTGTCCCTATTGACAGGGAAGCAGTAACTAAGCCCACTTATTGTGGCTACTCTCTGTACTCTAGCTGTTGTCCCAGTTCTAATAGGGTTTAGATAATTATTGCTCTCTTTCCTGGTTGCCTCAAGTAGCAGCAAAAACAGTTCGGAGCTAAAGAAAACCCCCGTTTCATGTACCGGATATAAGGTAATTTAAAGAAAAATCTGAACAATGCCTACCAGAAAAAATTAAGATGAACCTTTGGCCATACAGCTGGACACAGCCCCCCACAATAAAAATCCAGTTACTCGGTCAAACACACTTACTCTGAGGTTTTTGAGAGCCAGACATGCCGCTTGCTGTATTTTTGCATCACACACAGCTAAAATATCCGTGTAAAAAAGCAGAGCCTAGAAAATAAGATTGAGTGATTGGTTACCCTACAAATAACTCCTCACATGTTCTGAATGCCAAGAGGACTGAGATCCAGCGCTGTTTTACTTATCTGAAACTGATCAAATAACATACAAGAATCATTTCTGATGCTGAAAGGCAGCAGTCTCTGGGGTGGAATATGGCAGGGGGTCAATAGTGCAGGATCGAACCAATCACAGTTTTGATCCTTAACTCACCCTGCACCCACTGGGGTAGCAGATGTTGAGAGCTTCCTCGAAGCGGAGTATAACTCCTTCCCCCCCCAAAATCCTGCTGCTCTCAGGGAGATCGGATTCCTTGAATTGTAGTATCTCACTCTGAAAACAGGTGAGAAACCATGAAGTGGCCCAATTCAGTTAATACCTTCTCCCTGAAATTCTTATTCACTGCCGCCCGAGAGAGACAGGCCGTTGCTGCTTTGCTGACGTGGCGGTTGTCATCGAGCTGCAGAATCCCGAGCAGCCGTAAAGTTTGGGGTAGAGGCTGGAGCTGGCTCAGTCGCTTCCCTTTTAGTTTCTTGATTTTCTTAAGTCGCCCTGGACACTGTAGCTCCTCAATTAGCGTCACTGCAAATGGAAGAATATCAGTTCAGCTACAAATGTGTGCAGTGTCTATGGAGAATTGGTTCTGAGAAGTCCCTTCCAATTTTGTCTCCTGCCTCAGACGTGTGCCCCTGATTAACACCACTACTGAGCAAGGCTGTCTCTTAGAAAATACTTTGAGGTACATGACTAGGCAAGAGGTGAGCTGCAAGTACTGCTAGTCTGCACAAAACATGCTCCTTTTACCATTCTCTTATCCTCCCTTCTTCCCTCAGTTTGTCCTTTTCATCTCCTCATAAACCTAGCTTGTAAACTCTCTGAGGCTGGGGCTATGTTTTTACAATATGTATGCACAGTGCCTAGCAAAATGGGGCCCTGGTCCTTGACTGAGATCCATAGGTGCTAAATTAATACAAACATTCGTGAATGCAAAACCTTTTGGAAGAGTAGTAATTTGACTATTACTAAAAAAGAGGGAAAACTGAAAAATGTTAAAACAAGCATCTGTGAAAGATAAGGCTGCACTGGTTAGGAGGAGTGTAAGTGTACCACAGAGAGAGAATAATATGCCTAGTTTTAAAAATAATGCACCACACTGTCCTTTTGAAATCCTACACGAGATCGCAGACAAACTTCCTACGCCTTTGCGTTCACGCACTGAGCAAGCATGAATGGCCCAAAGGAAATGAAACTACCCCAGTATCTGCCACGTTCAGATTTTCAAAGTACTGGATGGACTGGGTTTCAGCATGACAGTAGCGCTCTCAGCAAATACATATTAGTTACTCCTGGAATCTTAATGCCACTGATCTATCTCTCATCACTGTCATGACCATGCGATACCGTAAACCATCTACTCTGCTGTGGAACACAGCAGCTTACTGTGCGGCCAGTTTGGCCTCTCCTTATATTGCAGACTGAGACCTAAGCCAGACACTTGAGCTAAATATTTGCATCAAATCTGTTCCTTTCCTGTCTAGCTATGAAGCCTGATTTTGCCTTTCGTGCTCTAATTAAAACTGCATGGGCATAGTGAGGAGAAAGGATGAAAACAGAGTTGAATTGTATTATGGTAGGGTTGTATCCTTATTCTTTAAAAAAATATCCCTTTGGGATTGGGAGAGACACAGCCCCATAAGCCATTCCAGCAGCCAACTAGCTAGCCTGAGGGTTATTTGCCTGAGTGCAGTGCCTGGCAGCCTGCCATTACCTTCTTTGCTGAGTTCTGCCAAGTGCTTCTCCAGATTGGCAACACGCTCTTTCTCCAGGTAGCTGTGAAACTGGAATAAGGTGAGCAGTTCTTCAGGGGGACTCCCAGAGGGGAGCAACCCGCTGCATGTGACGATCTGCTCTAGCAGCCTTCGCAGCACTGAATAGACATGCAGAGAAGAGCAAACAAAGAAGGCCTGCTGAGGGGCAGGACACTTTGCACTCATGCATTTCATTTACAGTTTTAACAAGAAGAAGTTGAAGGCTGGAATTTTCAGAGGAACATAAGGAAGTAAGGGCCTAAATCTCACTAAAATTCAGTAGGAGGCAGGCCTCCACTCTGCTGATAATTCCAGCCAAAGTACAAAACAGAACTCATCCAACACCCACTGAAGCCAAGAGGAGTTACTGTATTGACTTAACAGACTTTGAATCAGGTCTATAGGTGGTAGCAAAGACAATTAAGTATCAGAGGGGTAGCCGTGTTAGTCTGAATCTGTAAAAAGCAACAGAGGGTCCTGTGGCACCTTTAAGACTAACAGAAGTATTGGGAGCATAAGCTTTCGTGGGTAAGAACCTCACTTCTTCAGATGCAAGTAATGGAAATTTCCAGAGGCAGGTATAAATCAGTATGGAGATGACGAGGTTAGTTCAATCTGATTGAAATTTCCATTACTTGCATCTGAAGAAGTGAGGTTCTTACCCACGAAAGCTTATGCTCCCAATACTTCTGTTAGTCTTAAAGGTGCCACAGGACCCTCTGTTGCTTTTTAAAGACAATTAAGGCAGCCTGGTTTAAGAAGATTAATGCAGGGACTCAGGAACTGGCAACCTTTAATTCTAACTCTGCCATCAACTAGCTGTGTGACTGAAAGAGCCACTAAACCTTTCTGGGCCTCAGTTTCCCCATCTGTAAAGCAGGGTATAATGATTTTACCATATAAAACAAGCAGTGCTCTATGCACATGTTTAGAAGCCCTTTGGAAACAATAGGGTTGCATAGGGGAAATTCCTTTGTTTAGAAAGATCATCCTATGGGAATTCCTGGCCATATTGTGCATTCGGTGTTAGGATTGAAATCTAAATGAAAGGGGTCATCCAAAATGTAAGTCCTAATGTCAGATGTTGTTTGTGTCTGTCTTTTAGTCAACTTTTATCAATTTTGTTTTCTCTCTTCTAAAATGGGGGCACTGTGCATGTGGGTGTGCGCGTGAGCACACCCCTTTGCAGCAGAGTCTGTACTGAGCTTTACTTTCAGTGTTTACACATCACCACAAGGCTATTGAGTGACATACAGATACATATGCACAATACATACATATTTCAATGATAAACTCTTTGGGATATGGATGATGGCCCAGATTCTGGGAGTTAGGCACCTAAATACCTTTGAAGATCTGGGCCTATGTCTGCCTCATGTTTGAACAGCACCTAGTGAAACAGAGCTCTCATCCCAACAGGGGCCTCTGGGCACCACTGCCACTACAAGAAATAATAGGAACTCCATGTTGACTTTCTGAGATATGTGTAACACAGAAGATAGAACACAGCACAGCATTCATAATTATCTTAGCAATTAAATGCCTGCAATTTTGTATTGTAAACTCTTTGGTATATCAGATAGAAGGGAGGGATTTTCAAGAGTGCCCAAGCGAGTCAGGTTTCTAACTCCCATTGACTCCTAACCCCCTTAGGTGATTTGGTAAATCCCACCCCAAATTATTACAAAACATAACGCTAACAGTCCACAATGTCATGGGAGAGAAGTAATGCCTCATCAAGCCGCGTGTGGAGAGTGCCATGGTCATTTTATAGTATAAGTAATAAATCAAGGGGCTGGAGTCTGAATTTTAAATACAGTTTACCAAGAACAAGTTCTATGTCATTTTAAAAAACCTACAGGGACAACCTTAAACTCAGTGTACGAATAAAATCAGGTGCCTTATCTTCTAGTAATTGACTGGTACCTGCTTCTAGATGTCCTGGATATTTCTCCTTCACTTTGAACATTAATATGTATTTCAGAGGATTCTGGAATTTTTCTGCTGAACAGAACAAGATATTTCCTGGGTCTGTGAATTCACTCCAGATTTTCAGACACTGCTTCTGCTTTTTCACCTTATGAATAACTGTAGAATAAAGTTTTACAAAAGTCAGCAAGTGAGCTGGAGTGCATTTTAAATGAGACATGAGACACCAGATGGGATGTCTAACAAATGTATGAATGTCATTTTTATTTACATTCCATACATGGATTTCTTTACAACTGAATTGTATTGCCAATTTATTAAAGACTCATTAAGGACCTGAGCCAAAGCCCACTAAAGCCAATGGGAGTCTTTCAATAAACTTCAATGGGCTTTGGATTGGGCTCTACGGTGTCATACCAGTGTGTAAGTGAGACGTCTACCATGCTCCTAGCTCCTGCCTTTGCAGGGACATAAACTGTGCTCTACTAGGGATTCCCCTTCTCTAGCATCCCAAATTATATCTCATTGGACCACGCTCAACCTATTAGGATTGCAAACAGCCAACCAGGGTCATGTGTTAGGAACAAAGACCTATAATCATAAGATCACCAGGCCTAGCTCCATGTGCTAGAGGGCAAGTAAAAAAGCCCCTGCTCCTCTTCCCTGGGAGCGAATTCCTTCTCAAATCCAAATGTGGAGCCTAATCCTACAATCCTTGCTCAGGCAAAATTCCCCTGGGTTTCTATCGGAGTTTTTCTGAGTCAGGCCTGCGGATCATCACAATAAAAACCTGCATAGTTCAGTATCTAAATAATCTCATTTGTGTTGCTATGTCACTCCCTCCCTTTTGCTAGGGAGGGATAATGTTGGTGTCCAATGGCCAGATTTTTAAAGGCATTTAGGCACCTAAAAATACAAATATGCACCTAGTGGGGTTTTCAAAACACCACGGGATTGAAAGCAATGGGAGTGAGGAAACACCCTGTTTTGAAAATCCTACTGGACATGTATCTGCATGTTTAGGTGCCTAAACTGGCCCCAAATAATTACCCATTTTCCTTGAAGCCAAAGATTAGGATATTCAAAAGTGCTCACTGTTGGCTTAACGCTGCTCCCCCTGGATTCAGGGGGAGTTTTATCATCCATTTCAAGGGGAGTTAAGTCAGTGTTGAGCACTTTTGAAAATCCTTCGAATGCAAAATGCAAAACACTTATGGCCCCCTGCGTATGGGGTGGGGAAAGCCCCTTTACATGAAATACACAAGCTCTGTGGTTTACTTGGTTCATACAGGGTCAAGTTAATTATTGCCTGGGGCAGAAATTCTAAAAACCCTTTCCTTTCTAACCAAGAAAGATCTGAGCCCCAGCTGTTAGGGTTTATAACCTACCCATAAAAGCTGCTTTGACTGGGAATTTATTTTAAAGCCTTCAGAATCAATCCCTGATTTGCCATATGAGGTGAGAGCCATGTTACCTGAGCCTCTCTGGTCTCCTACATATGCCTTGGCATCACACCCACATTACTCACCCTCTTCAACAGAGGTGAAGCTCCCAACTTCCAGAACACAGAGCTCTGAGACAGTTTCCAGCACTTGTTTCTGCCGTGACACTTCTTCCAAAAGGCTCTCCTGGACAATTCGGGCTATGTTTGGCGAAACCAGTTTCTGAAACAAAGTGTACTTTTCCTCAGTGACTGAGACGAAAGCATTGAGCAAACTCAAGAAGTGCTGAACCCCCTGACTTTCAGAGCTCAACTCTCCAACAGCCAGTGGGGAAGACAACTGCCTCTCACAGAAATCCACTTTTTGCATTGTGTCTTGGATGGGCAGAGGATGCGATGGAAATAGGAGACAGACTTGTTGAAAATCTCTGGGTAAGGATAAAAGGTGTAAAAAACAAGAGTGATGTCATAGTAGGATCTACTACAGACTATCTAACCAGGAAGAAGAGGTGCATGAGGCTTTTTTAAAACAACTAACAAAATCATCCAAAGCACAGGATTTGGTGGTGATGGGGGACTTCAACTACCCAGACATCTGTTGGGAAAATAACACAGCAGGGCACAGATTATCCAGCAAGTTCTTGGAATGTACTGGAGACAATTCTTTTATTTCAGAAGGTGAAGAAAGCTACTAGGGGAGAGGCTATTCTAGATTTGATTCTGGTTGAGAATTTGAAAGTGGAAGGCAGTGTAGGTGAAAGTGATCATGAAATGGTAGAGTTCATGATTCTAAGGAATGGTAGGAGGGAAAACAGCACAATAAAGGCAATGGATTTCAAGAAGGCAGACTTTAGCAAACTCAGGGAGTTGGTAGGTAAGATCCCATGGGAAAAACAGTTCAAGAGAGTTGACAGTTTTTCAAAGAGACATTATTAAGGGCACAAAAGGGAACTATTCCACTGCATAGGAAAAGATAGGAAGTATGGCAAGAGACCACCCTGGCTTAACCAGGAGACTTATAATGATCTGAAAATCAAAAAAAGAGTCCTACCAAAAGTGGAAACTAGGTCAAATTAAAAAGGATGAATATAAACAAATAACACAAATATGCAGAGACCAAATTAGAAAGGCCAAGCCACAAAACGAGATTAAACTAACTAGAGACATAGAGGGTAACAAGAAAACATCCTACAAATACATTAGAAGCAAGAGGATGACCACGGGGGAAAGGGGAACAATAACAGAAAATGTGGAAATGGCAGAAGTGCTAAATGATCTTTTTGTTTCAGTTTTCATCAAAAAGGTTAGTAGCAATTGGGCATCTAACATAGTGAATGCTGAGGTAGGCTGAGAGGCTAAAATAGGGAAAAAACAAGCTAAAAATTACTTAGACAAGTTAGATGTCTTCAAGTCACCAGGACCTGATGGAATGCCTCTTAGAATACTCAAGGAGCTGACTGAACTATTAGTGATTATCTTCAAAAAGTCATGGAAAACGGGAGAAATTCCAGAGGACTGGAAAAGGGCAAATATAGTGCCAATCTATAAAAAGGGAAATAAGGACAACCCAGAGAATTGCAGACTAGTTAGCTTTACTTCAGTTCCTGGAAAGATAATGGAGCAAATAATTAGCGAACACCTAGAAGATAGTAAGATGATAAGTAACAGTCAGCATGGATTTGTCGAGAAGAAGTTGTGTCAAACCAACCTAATAGCTTTTTTTGACAGGGTAACAAGCCTCATGGATAGGTGGGAAAGCGGTAGGTGTGGTATATCTTGACTTTAGTAAGGCTTTTTAAACTGTCTCTCATGACCTCCTCATAAACAAACTAGGGAAATATAACCTAGATGGAGCTACTACAAGATGGATGCATAACTGGTTGGAAAACCGTTCCCAGAGAGTAATCATCAGTAGATCACAGTAAAGCTGGAAGAGCATATTAAGTGGGGTCTCGCAGGAATCAGTTCTGGGTCTGGGTCTGTTCAAAACCTTCATCAATGATTTAGAGAATGGCTTAGAAAGTACACTTATAAAGTTTGCGGACGATACCAAGCTGGGAGGGGTTGCAAGTCCTTTGGAGGATAGATTAAAATTCAAAATGATCTGGACAAACTAGAGAAATTGTCTGTGGTAAATAGGATGAAATTCAATAAGGACAAATGCAAAGTACTCCACTTAGGAAGGCACAATCAGTTGCACACATACAAAATGGGAAATGGCTGCCTAGGAAGGAGTACTGCAGAAAGGGATTTATGGTGTCATAGTGGATCACGAGCTAAATGAGAGTCAACAGTGTAACACCATTGAAAAAAAACAAACATCATTCTGGGATGTATTAGCAGGAGTGTTGTAAGCAGGACATGAGAAGCAATTCTTCTGCTCTACTCCATACTGATTAGACCTCAACTGGAGTATTGTGTCCAGTTCTGGGCACCACATTTCAGGAAAGATGTGGAAAAATTGGAGAAAGTCCAGAGAGGAACAAAAAAAAATGATTAAAGATTGAAAAAACTGGGTTTGTTTAGTCTGGAAAAGAGAAGACTGAGAGGGGACATTTTTACCTACTTTAAAAATGTTATCGATTGTTACAAGGAAGAGGGAGAAAAATTGTTCTCCTTAACCTCTGCGGATAGGACAAGAAGCAGTGGGCTTAAATTACAGCAAGGGTGGGTTAGGTTTAGGGTGACCATGCATCCTGTCCTGGCCGTCCCGACTTTTTTGGCAAAACTGGGCATTTGTTTGGTTTGCTCTTGCCAACTGATCATCATTTGGCAAGAGCAAACCAGACAAATGCCCAGTTTTGCCAAAAAAGCAGGGTGTGACCCCTAGCGGGGGTGGACATGCTGGGGGGCAAGCAGCAATGCCAGCCCCGTGCGGGAGGGAGGGTTCAGGAGAGCAGCTCAGGCCGGGCCAGTCCCACATGGGTGGGTGGCAGGGGGGCTTGGGCCGCCCTATGCATGAGGGGAGAGGAGGGCCTCGGGCCGGCCCCAGGAAGTGTCCCATTTTTCCTTTGGGAAAATATGGTCACCCTAGTTAGGCTGGACATTAGGAAAAACTACTTAACTGTCAGGGTGGTTAAGCACTGGAATAAATTGCCTAGGGAAGTTGTGGAATCTCCATCATTGGAGATTTTTAAGAGCAGGTTAGACAAACACCTGTCAGGGATGGTCTAGATAATACTTAGTCCTGCCATGAGTGCAGGGGACTGGACTAGATGACCTCTCAAGGATCCCTTCCAGTCCTACGAGTCTATGATTACATTTTGCATCTCTCCCTGAACGGGAAAGTCTTCTCTTCCCATCTGAAGCAGTTATAAACATTACACGGTTCAATAGATGCCCGAGGTTGATATACTGTACTGATGTGTGGAGTAATCCTTGTACAATGCCTTTTGTGCTTCAGGGCCTGATCCTAGCTGATGCTGAGCACCCATTACTCCTAGTGAAATGAATAGGGATTGTGGCTGTTCAGCACCGATGAGTCCCAGGGGTGTTCTAGAGCAGAGGTTCTCGGCCTTTTTCTTTCTGAGTACCCCCAACATGCTATAAAAACTCCACGGCCCAGCCGTGCCACAACTGGTTTTCTGCATATAAAAGCCAGAGTCAGTGTTAAGGGGTAGCAAGCATGGCAATTGCCTGGGGGCCCCATGCCACAGGGGCCCCCACGAAGCTACATTGCTCAGGCTTCAACTTCAGCCCCAGGTGGGACTTCAGCTTTCTGCCCTGGGCTCCAGCGAGTCTAATGCTGGCCCTGCTTGGAGGCCCCCCTGAAACCTGCTTGAGGCCCCCTAGGGGGCCCTGGACCCCTGGTTGAGAACAACTGTTCTAGAGAAATCATCATAACTTATCCTGGATACTGGCTATTTTACTCCAGTGATACCAAATTTTCTCTCTGAAAAATTGGTCATTTGCCAATCAATATGTAGTTCAATCCAAACCGGTCCTACTTCATTCATAGCCAGCTCATCATGCATAAGTCCTCTGAGTGCAGAGCTACTAATTCCTACCCCAGCAAAAAAGGTCCCGGTTTTGCAGAAGAAGTGCATGCCCACCTGATTTCCCTTTGCATAGGTCTGTGCATTGCAGTTTGAAAATCTGGCCCGCTCAAGTGATCTGCATTTCCATTCTCAGTCATTCCATTTTATAACATAACCTCATAAATCACCAGCTCTGTCTTTGCTTGGTGGTTATAAATGATGGCCCAGATCCTCAGCTATGGCTATGGAGTGCACAGTTCAACTCAGGAATGGGGGAAAAGATGGGTGTTGCACTCCCTGATCCTCCACCAACTGAGTGAGGGGCTGGTTTCCAGCATAAATCAGGGTAGCCTGAAGGCTGCCCTAAACTATTCCAGCTGCCCTTGGATGTGAGAGGCAAATAGAGCAGCAAGTGCTGGGGCAGAAGTATGTCCCAGCCATTCTAGCTTTCCCTCCAACCATGTCCCCTTCACCATCAGCCAGAGAAGAAGGGTCTGCATAGAAACTGTTACTCCCACACTATGCTACCAAAGAATCCTGTGCTAGGGGGATTCTCATATAGCTGGCTATGCCAGCTTTGTGCCCGTTGTACAAGGCAAAGTGCCTGCACAGCATCCCAGGATCTGAGCCAGTATCAATCCACTGCAAATGGGTTCATCCATACGTCATTCCTTACCTGCAAGAGAGCTTTGCACAACTGCAGATGAACTATCAGAAGTTTGTCTAAATCATCATTTCCTGTGGTTAACTCTTTCGTTTCTGTTTTCCTGTCATAGCCCAGTATGTTGTCATTGTAAGTGCTGTTAGAGAAGTTAAGAAAGGGGAACAAGTAGTTAATGTTAACCAGCCATTGTGTGCGGTAAAGCAGAAGGATCTAAAACACCAAGAAAAAAATAAAAGTTGTTTAAAAACCCACAAGGCACCTCCTTCACCCCTATATCTATATCTTCAACAAATGAATGTGAAAGTTTCTCTTCCTGTCTTCTCAATAATAATCCCCAAACTCATCAAAGTGGTCACCACTTTTGACAAATAACTGATGCTCTATAAGAGCAGTAAGCCTGTTAACAATCTGCTCTCTTGATTGTGTGTAAACTTCCGACAAAGGTGAAGATGGGGATTAAATCTCTAATCCTCATGTCAGGAAGGCAACAGTATGTCAGCTAATCCTGTGACCTCATTTTTGTGAGGACCACCATCCAAACAAGACACTGCCATCAATAATGTGTATTGACTGGCTGGCCCATTTGGAACGACGTATTGCAAAAGCAAAATAACACCACCTTGTTCTCTAGCAACTCCAACTCAAGGATGCTCTAGTCTGGTCTATCTGGGGTTACTCAGCACCTCTCAGGATCAGGCCCACAACCCCAAAGGGTAAGAGTGTTATGAGCAAGGGTCACAAATATGAAACAGAACCCAGTAGAAGGGACCTGTGAGCTGCTCCTGGCCTATTCCCTTGCAAAACTGTTCCCCATCATACCCATACATCTGTTTTCTGAAGGCTAGTTTTAAATATCCCAACTATCCCATTCTGCAGCCTAGTAGGAGAAAGGCTTTTCAAGATATTCAACCTAAATAGTCCCAAATTTCAGTCCATTTATTGCTTGACTGAGCTGTAAGTTTCATAGAATCCTAAACAATTCCTCTCTCTCTTGAGTGTCCACACCCTGGGCACCAACCTCCCCACACCACACAGGCATTGCCTAACTGAGTTCAGTGTATTTACCTCCTAATCTTCCTCTTGTCAATCCCTTCAGCCCCTCAATGGGATGCACTTAGGGTGACCAGATGTCCTGATTTTATAGGGACAGTCCCGATTTTTGGGTCTTTTTCTTACATAGGCTCCTATTACCCCCCATCCCCGTCCCGATTTTTCACGCTTGCCATCTGGTCACCCTAGATGCACTGGTCTGCTCACCTGGTACTGTCTGTCCTTATGCTTCCAAATAAGGAAAGCTCATCAGCACTGCAGTCCGTGTTTAAAAAGTCAAAACTTTCCAGCACCATCTCCACCATCAGACTCTCCATGGAGGAATGTTTCTGATGAGATGTCTTCAGCTGTTGATAGATAGGAAATAAACTATTGTTCTTTGCAAGGATCCTGTTCCCCGCCAGCAGTTCACCCATACTGATTTACAAATCACCATCTATTCAACCATGGGACAGTTTGCTCTCATCAGCTCATCCACAACACACCAGAAGAGCTGATCCTTTCACACATACAAAGCACTTGAGCCACGTCACCCCGATCCTGAAACAGCTTTGCCAATTCATTTCAGGAACTAGTTCAAAAGGTTTATCCAGTTTTAAAATTCTCCTTGGGTTTACTACAACCTCACCAGTGTGGGTGTAAGACCCTTCTTCTCTGCAGCTCCTGTCATTTGGTACAATTTTCCTGTCTTTCTCCTTCTTAAGATCTAGAGCTATCAGTTTTATACTGCCACCCATCACTGTAATAATAGCAAAGTCCCTACCCCTTCTGGCATTTCTCCCCTTTCTCTGCTTGGGGTAGAAGTTTTGGGAAAGGGGTTGGTTTGGGGGCTGTTTAAGTTTTTTAATTTTCTTTTAATTTTTCTTTTAATTTTTCTAAGGCTTTAGGAGTAGAAAGTGGTGTCAGTGATGTCAGTGTCATTCTTATCTCAGATCTCAGCTGAAATCTTACAGTGTCTTCTCTCTCTGGCCTACACACAGGGCCTCGTGTATTCCACAGCTGTGGGACTACAAGTGCAATCCACCCTTTGCCACAGAGTTGTGCTCCAGAATCTTTCATGTAAGGGGGGAAAATGTTTCTAGTCTCATATGATTGTGAAGATATCCTTAAACACATGGGTGGCGGGTATAATAGCTGCTTCCATGGATTGCCATTTGCGGGTTTTTACTTATTATTATGTGCCATGCAGGTTCTGGGGCAGCTGAAGAGGCTGTCTCTGCTATTCAGCTTCCCGGGTTCCTCAGTAATCTTCCTGGACTCCAGAGATAGACAGCTGGGGGAGGTGCACTGCCTTTACCATTCTCCGGCACAGCCCAAGCCGGCCTGGGGCTGCTCGGGCTGCTGGAGCTGGCACGGCTGGGACAACTCAGGCTGGACTGGAGCTTGGGGCTGCTCGGGCTGCTGG